CCGTGTGGCGGAACGCTTCGATACGATCAACTTCGCTGCGTTCCAACGTGGCATGAGGATGGGACACACGAATCACGCTCCAGCTGCTCGTGCAAATGGTCCTACACCCATGGAGCTGGGAATGATGGAGAGGCAGCCGCGAAATACCTCAAACGTCATGTGCTACCAATGCGGGAAGATTGGGCACATCAAGCGTAACTGCCCAAGTCGTCGCAGCCCAAACAAAGGACGGGGAAACGGACAGCGCTAGTAGCAGTGGGGCAGACCTCTGGCGCGTCGCATGCCCCGCTTCTCCCGACACCATTGTTCATCGGCACGTCTGAACTCTACACCACATCAAACACTCCATTCCCCGCCATCATTCTATGGGCAAAAATAAAGGATCGCTACGTTGTCTTTCGGCTTGATACCGGCGCTTCAGCAAATTTCCTCTCTCCCTCAATTGCTGTTGAACTTTCTCTTCCCGAAGATCCCAACAGCACCCCACAGGAAGTGATCATGGCAGATGGTACTCGGCGACGCTGCGGACCTACCCTCCTCCCCGTGCACTGCATGTTCGGAAGTCTAGAGGCGACGGTGACGTTCGAGCAACTGCACCTCGGCGGCTACGAGGGCGTTCTCGGTCGACCGTGGTTGTACCAGCTTGGACCGCGAATTTATTGGCGTAACGCAACCATCACCGTCGGCAACTATGACCTCCCATCCCACTCCTACCGCCGCCCATGGTCATCCCCAACCACTTCAGCTTCATCAACACATCCACCCCAACCTGCCCCATCTCCAGCCTCACATATCCCCCCTCTCCCTCCTCCTCGAATAGCTCCCGCGCAGCAGCCAACACCACCCAGCTCCCCCGAAGTTATCAACACACCTCCTCCTTCCCCACCCCACCCAACCCAGCAGCCACGCCGTTACCTCTTCCGCCCCTTCTCTGAAGTTATCAATCCATCAGCCCCCATCCCTCCTTCGCCACCTCCTCCTCATCATCTCCTCGTTATCTTCACGGCTCCCGAATCTGAAGCACCAGCTACTTCTCTGCCACCAACCATACAAAATCTGCTCAACGGTTATACGGACGTGTTTCCCGATGATCTACCCGCCGAACTTCCACCCGAGCGTGCTATTGACCATAGCATCCGCCTCATTCCAGGTTCTACACCGCCCGTGCGCCCAACCTACCGCATGAGTACCGCTGAACTTTTGGAGCTACGACGACAACTCAACGACCTTCTTGAGAAGGGTTTCATCCGCCCTAGCACCTCACCATACGCTGCCCCTGTACTTTTCACTCGCAAGAAGGAAGGTGACCTGCGTCTTTGCATCGACTACCGCGCCCTCAACGCCATCACGATCAAGAATAAGTACCCGCTGCCCCATGTCGAGGAGTTGTCCGACATGCTTGGGGAAGCAACGGTTTTCAGCAAGCTCGACCTACGATCCGGTTACCACCAGATCCACCTCGCCGAAGAGGACATCAGCAAGACGGCGTTTCGAACCCGCTACGGCCACTTCGAGTTTCGAGTTCTTCCCTTCGGCCTCACCAACGCACCAGCCACGTTCATGGGACTTATGAACGACATTTTTCGGCCCTTTCTCGACCGCTTTGTCATCGTGTTCCTCGATGACATCCTTATTTTCAGCAAGTCACTCGAAGAACACGCTCAGCACCTACGCATCGTCCTCGACACGCTTCGCCAACACCGCCTCTATGCCAAGCTCTCCAAGTGCACCTTCGCCCGTTCAAGCATCGGCTTTCTCGGCCATGTCATCAGCTCCAAGGGCATTGCTATGGACTCCGCAAAGGTCCAGTGCCTTGCTGATTGGCCAGCACCACGCACGGTAGCAGAGCTGCAAAGTTTCATCGGCCTTGCAAAATATTACAGGAAGTTCATCTTCAACTTCTCCCACATATGCGCTCCGTTGACTGACCTCTTTCGTCAAGGAGCTGCCTTTCAATGGGGACTACCGCAGCAGACCGCTTTCAGCTCGATCAAGGCAGCACTCACCTCTGGACCGGTCCTCACCGTCGCCGACCCTTCACGCCCGTACTTCATATGGACCGATGCCTCCGATGTTTCTGTTGGTGCCATTCTTTGCCAAGACCATGGCCATGGGATGCAACCACTTGCGTTTGAGTCACGCAAGCTTCAACCGGCAGAGCGCAACTACGCAACACATGATCGGGAGCCCTTGCCATTGTCCACGCAATCAAGACATGGCGCTGTTACGTGGAGCTGCAGCCCGTCACCGTCTACACCGACCATCGCCCTCTTCAACACTTGAAAACACAGCCCGTGCTCAGCCGCCGCCAAGCCCGATGGGCTGAGTTCTTGGAGCAGTTTGTCCCCTCACTTCAGATCATCTACCGCCCCGGAAAGCTCAATCCAGCCGACGTCTTGTCCCGACCACCGCCACCAGCCCAACCAACCACCAACCAGCCCCACCAAGCCCCAACCAGCCCCACCTCATCACCTCCACCTCACACTCCATACCCACCCTTGCAACTCCATGGAACCAGCAGCATCACCTGGGATGATACCTTCATCACGAAATTTCAGCGCGCCTACAAACGTGACCTGTTTTTTGTCAAGCAAGCACCCGAGGACCCGGCCTACTCATTTGAAGACCCATTTTGGTACAACAGTATTACGAAGACCATTTGTGTCCCTGCTGATCGCTCGTTACGGCAGCTGCTACTCTCCGAATACCACGACACCGCTACCGGCAGCCACTTCGGTATTGAGAAGACCTACGCACGCATCTCCAACGACTACCATTGGCCACTCATGCATGCGGACGTGCGTGACTTCGTTCGTAGCTGCCGAACCTGCCAACAACTCAAAGCACGCACCACCAACCGCTATGGACTCCTCCAGCCCATTCCTCCACCTACCAAAGTGTGGGATGAAGTCACCATGGACTTCATCATGGATCTGCCCCGCACACCCCGCAGCTACAACGCCATCCTCGTCGTCGTCGACCAACTCTCCAAAATGAGCCATTTCATCCCCACGCACACAACCGTCACCACACCCGAAACAGCCCGGCTCTTCTTCGATCACATAGTCCGCTTACACGGCCTCCCATCCGCCATCATTTCAGACCGCGACCCTCGCTTTTTGAGCAACTTTTGGCAAAGCCTCTTCAAGCTTCACGGCACAAGGCTGAAGTTCTCTACAGCGTATCACCCCGAAACGGACGGACAAACCGAACGGATGAACCGCACGCTTGAAGACGCCCTTCGTGCACAAGTTACCGCTCGCCAAACTGATTGGGATCTCCACCTCACCGCCATCGAACTCGCATACAACAGCACACCCCACCTTTCCACCGGTCAGCCACCCTTCTACCTCGCAACCGGACAGCACCCACGCCTCCCCACAACCCCACCCTCCCACCTCTCACACACACCAGCAGCCTTTGTGTTCCTCACTTCACTCGAATCAGCCATTGACGCCGCTCGCACCTCCATCCTTAAAGCACAAGCCAAACAGACCCACTATGCCAACTCCCGCCGCAAAGATATCCGCTTCAAGGTTGGCGATCAAGTGCTTCTCTCCACTGACCACCTACCTCTCCTACGCAAAGGCACAACCAGAAAACTCGCCCCTCGCTTCATTGGCCCGTTCACCATCACCCGAGTCCTCTCACCAGTCACCTACCGTCTCCAACTGCCCAGCTATATGAAGATTCACCCCGTCTTCCATGTCCAGCGCCTCCGCCCTTTCCGTGCACCTTCACACGACTGTCCAGCCACACGCCAACTGCCACCGATGTTCGAAGGCAGCCCCGGCCTGTTTGAGGTTGCATCTATCACTGCACATCGCGACACACCTCATGGTCGCGAGTTTCTTGTTCATTGGAAGGACCAGCCCACTAGTGACGACTCGTGGGAACCAGAGAGCCACCTTGACCGTGCCGCAACTGCTGTGAATCGGTACTTGACCAGCCACGGTTTGGCGCCGTGGACGGCGCCACTTGGAGGGGGAAGTAATGTAACAGTGTGGCAGCCGAATGCTGCCAAGTACAGTGCAGGTGGGCGGAAGTCAAGCGCCACCTCACCAACTGTTCGTATTGGTCAAACGCCTCAACCTGCAGCTGGGCGACCAGATCCTGACGCGCAGCCCAAGTCAATCCCACGCACGAAAATGACGAAACGCAGAACACCGAAGTTCCGACCCCTCGCCGACTTCGCCAACCACACCGACGAAGTTACAGCCTTGTAATCAACTCGTCGAACAATCCCGCATCGCAATCAATCTCTGAATTTCATGGCAAGGTTCATTTCCAGGGGTAGAGTTACCAATAAGAAATTCAGGGTGTCGCGACTTGGTAGTGCGACTCGATTTCTGAATGTGCTCTATAAAATTGTACTGTCAAATTTGTGAAGGATATTGTAAATTCCAGAGAATTCCAGAGAGCATCTTGTCTTCGTTACTCAAGCCTACTCAAGCCTACTAAGGCTGATACCTCCCTGCCAGCAACGTTTCACACAGCACGCCAACGCAGTGCTTCTTTCGTCGTCGCATCGCTAGTCATTGGGATCGTCTGCGGTTCCGCGGCTGCCGCGGCGTCGGAGCTGGGAGATGCCATCAACAAGGCGAACAAGGTAGGCATGTATAGATTCACACCGATGCCACCTATCGCGGCGTCGAATGGTAGCCTCTATGTTTTTCGAAAACTAGCGTCAACCCTCGCTAGGCTAAATGTGCTTGATGCGGCACGATTTCCACGCTAGCTTGCTGCTTTGAAGTCCTCTCAACTGAGTTAAGGCTTTACTCAACCCTTGCGAAAGTAACTACGCACCTAACAATTTCGGCCAGCCTCGTGTTTGTTCGTGTCCACGTGGCATGAATACAGGGAGGCGCAAGCGCGGCTCCCACAGTGCTCGTTCTCACATCCAACGTGCTGCTCGCGGCGTAAGTTCCCCATCAGTCCACGTCTGCGCATGTCACATTTCGCCACGCGTGCATTTGCCACCTCATATATCACCTCATCCCATGAAAGCCGGTTACGTTCGTTACGTGAAGCATTGTCCCCTGATTTCGACCTTTGAGGCGCCTCAAAAGTCAGGCTCCATCCCTGCTTAGTCCCCTGATTTCGAGCCCACCCCCATCCTGATTGCTTGAGTCAACTAAGCCCTCTTTCCTATTCCCCTACACTCGCGCTTTCCACTCTCATTCCTCCCTCCCGACCCCCCTTGCCCCTCCCTCCTCCTCCCCTTCCCCCAACCTTCCCTTTCCCCCTTCCCCATTTCCCCTTGTTCCCCCCCTCCTCCCCCCAGCCCCCTCCACGCACTCTCAGGCGCGGCCAAGCTGACCATCACGGGCGCGTGTGGCGCCAACAGGACTACCAGGTGGGTGGTAGGGTTACCAAGTGGGGGGTAGGGCTACCAGGTGGGTGGTAGGCTTACCAGACGAGCGGTAGGGTTACCAGGTGGGTGGTAGGGTTACCGGCTGGGCGGCTGGGTTACCAGGTGGGTGGTAGGGTTACCGGCTGGGCGGCTGGGTTACCAGGTGGTGAAAGGGTTTATGAGCTGGTAGAGGAGTCACTTGAGAATGGTTGGTTCAGTGGGTCAGGTCGGCTTTATCACCGTTACCATTACAGTTGTCATCACCATTGTTGCATTACCATTAACATAGTTGCATTACCATTACTACTATTGCTGCATTGCCATTACTATTGTTGTATTACCATTAACATAGTTGCATTACCATTACCATTGTCGCATTAACCATCGCCATCGGCTTTATACGTCTCCTCTCTCCTCTCTCCAACCATATTCGCGCACCATTTTCGTCCCTCCTCCCCAACACCAGGCGCATCATCAGCGGGGGTGGCGCCTTCCCCATATTCACCTCCCCCTCGTCCGGCCCCACGGGGGGGCTGTTGACTCTGGTCAACCTCAACTTCCAGCGGGCGGCAGGAGGCGTCTTTTACAACGTGCGCACGTCGGTCAACGCAAGTCAATGCGATTTTGTCGGAAACACGGGCCCTATCGTTGGTGGAGGGGTGCTCAGGTAGGGATTTGGATTGTTGAGGGGGTATGAAAGACTGTGAAGGATGATTAGGTGAGAATGTGTGTGTCACATGTAAGAGTGTGTGGTGCAGACTCGAGTGTGTGTGGTGCGGATGAGAGGGTGTGGCATGCAGTGGAGCATGCTACGCCACACCACACCACACCACACCACACCACACCACTCCACACCACACCACACCACACCACACCACACCACACCACACCACTCCACACCACACCACACCACTCCACACCATACCACACCACACCACACCACACCACACCACACCACACCACACCACACCACACCATGCCACACCACTCCACACTACGGTTTCCAAACTACTGCCCTTCCAACCATGAGTGACAATGCACTCTCCATCGCTTCTCACCCACCCATACCTCCCTCCCCCTTCACTTTCTCCCCAACCACCAGTGAATCATTCCCTATGGCAGCCACCCTTCAAGGCCTCCCAACCCGTCTCTTCTCAAGATGCACCTTCAGTAGCAACACGGCGCCCACCTTGGGGGGCGGCGCTGTTAGCATTAACGGGGGCAATAGCATGGGCCGAGTGCCGGATATGCGCTTTGTGCGCTGTGCCTTCCAGGACAACAGCGCACCCACAAGCCTGGGAGGGGCGATTTCGGTGGTGGGGATGGGCTGGGTGCGGTTCGTCAAGTGCTCGTTTTTTGGGAACCGTGCTGGTGAGTGAGTGTGTGTGTGTGTGTGTGGTGGGGAGAAGGGAGAAAGGGGAGGGGGGTTGGGGGGTTGCGGTGTGTGTGTGTGTGTGTGAGTGTGAGTGTGTGTGTGTGTGAGTGTGTGTGTGTGTGTGAGTGTGTGTGTGTGTGTGTGTGCAAGTGTGTGTGCGTGTGCGTGTGTGCGTGCGTGCGCATGTGTGTATGTTTCCTTGTGTAAGTTGTCCTGTAGTGTGTGCATCTGGTAGGACCGGAATCTACCCAGTAGCATCCATTCACATCTTGAGTCGACTCCAAACATCCGCACTGCTCCCTTCTATCATCCGGACACATCGGAGGGAAGCAACTTCCGAGCAAGGTGTCTTCTGGGCAAGGTGTCTTCTGGGCAAGGTGTCTTCTGGGCAAGGCTGATTCTGGGCAAGGCCGATTCTGGGCAAGTGCGATTCTAGGCAAGGCCGATTCTAGGCAAGGCCGATTCTGGGCAAGGCCACTGTGCAAACAGCAATCCCTCTTTCCAAAGTCACCCGCCCTGCCCTCTCTCCATCCTCCCCTCCATCTTTCCAGGTGTATCTGGGGGAGGCGTCTTCTCGTCAGACACCTACCTCTCCTTCTCCCAGGCCACCTTCAATAACAACATGGCCCTCGGGAAATACAATGGCGGCGCCGGCGGTGCCTATGTCCGCTCTGGTTACGGCTGTGCTGTCTACGCCGTCTCAAACGAGCTGGTACCGAACATGGCAGTTCGTTTCTGCTCGTCGTCCTTCTCAAGCAACAGAGGCTTCTATTAAGACGGGGGCACCCTGACTGTGCAGACTAATGCGGACCACCCGCAATCCTTGGGGAAGGTGGCGTTTTGCGATGGGGCGAAGCCGGTAGGGTCAATAGTGCCCACGATTGGGTGGTCAGTGGAGTTTAACTGCCCAGCCAGGTGCGTCTTTGTCACTTTAGGTTCTCAAAAGTTTTAAGTGCGGTGCAGAATAATTGCCCAGCCAGGTGAGTTTGTCGCTTCTGAGAGCAGCATGAGCAGGCTGGCAGGGTCGATGGTGCCCACGCTTGGGTGCCCACGCTTGGGTGCCCACGCTTGGGTGGTGGGTGCGGACCAACAGCCTGGCCAGGTGTGTTTGTGTCACTTCTGAGAATTCTCAAAATTGGTCGGTGCGGACCGAGTGCCCTGCCAGTTGATGGAGCAGGCAGGCCAGCCTGGTGAGTTTGTGTCGCCTTTAATGGTTTCAAAGGTGGTCGGTGCGGACCGAGTGTCTGGCCAGGTGAGGGGGCAGGCCGGCCAGGTGAATGGGGAAGAGTGGGTAATTGGGTAAATCGAGTACTGTGGGAGCAGTGTGAGCAGAGCAGCATGGTCAGTCGTGCCCATGCCTTCGTGGTGGGGGCGGACCAGGTGCCCATCCAGGTGAGGAGGGGGGCTGACCACGGAAATGGGGAAGAGTGGGTGAGGATTTGGGGGCGGATTGCTTGTGGCAGTGGGAGCAGTGTGCGCAGGCCAGCTGGACCAGTGGTGCCGAAGAGTGGGTGGCGTGTAGGAAGGCAATGCACAGCCAGGTGAGGGGGGAGGCCACATGGGAAACTGGCAGAGAATGGGTAACAAAGGGGTTTGAGACGCCTCAGAACCGCCTCTCACAAAGAATGGGTGACAAGGGGGAGTGGTGGGATGAGGAGTAAGGGGGTAGTGCTGCGGAGCAGGAGAGCAAGGCGGCTGTATCAGTGGTGCTGAAGAGTGGGCGGTGGGTGGGGAGCAAATGCACAGCCAGGTGAGAGAGTGTGGGTGGGTGAGGGATGGGAGAGCATTGGGGGAAGAAAGGACAGTGAGTCAGGAGCAAATGCACTGGCAGGTGAGAGCCAGTGCGCACTTGGGGGACATGTGAGGAGGGGAAGAATGAAATGACAAGTGTATGGGAAAACTCTACGTGCAGTGGGAGCAGGACTGTGGTGTTGGTGATGCGCAGCAACGGAATTTCAGATGTTGGTGCAGACAGGAGGTAGACCGGTCATAAAACGTTGACATAGAACACGATGGCATGGTGTGAGTGAGACAGGGCTGCAGTATAAACTTGCCCCTCCCCTCTCCCATCTCCCCTCTTGCCTCTCTCCCGTTATTTCTCCCTCCTCACAGCACCTGTTTGCCCTGAACTTCATGCTTCAAGGGAGTCAACTCCTGGCCTTTCGGCTGGTGCCAGGCAGCTTGTACATAAAACTACACAACAACAAGCGTGTGTGATATGAGCATATGACATAACACCCTCAGTTGCAACATCGAAGATATACCCGCATCCGAAGGTTCTCCTGGCAAACGGTCGTCACAAGATGACACCTATGGAGTTAGAGCCCCCAACTTGTTTGTGGGTGCATAGAGATTTGTTTTTGCCGCCCTTTTTTGTTTTTTCGTCTATTTTTCCTTTGATGGCGGCGTATCCGATGCAGGGCCAAAAATATCAGGGTTACCTTTGCCCTGATGGGTGGCCGCCTTTTGGCAGCTACCCTTGCAAACTCAGTGTAACAAGATTTTTACCCTAGAGCAAAAAGAAATACTTATGTTTTACCCTGAGACCGACATCTGTTACCCTGCCTGTACAGGGTTCGATGAGCAGTACACTGATACCGGATCCTTCTTGACAAATCGTGACATGGTCCCACCGCCTCCCTTGTCGCTTTCGACCAGAGGTGCAAAACTGAAAAATATTTTTGGCAGGCCACCTCTTCTTCCTATTGGTTGTTTGAGCCACACTCCAGCAAGCGCACCCCGGAATTCTGCCACAACACACCATTCCCATTGACAACTGTGTCAAATGTTTTAGTCTTATTGATGTGTGTTATAGGGGGTACAGCTGTTATGGTTAGGTTTATGTACCCCAACCAACCTTAGTCAATCAACACTTTCATTCTTGACATGGTATCACCTAGGTTAGGATCCTGTGGGATCCCGCTAGCCTCTCGCGCCCGTTGCACGTAGTCGACTGTTCCCGCTGCGCCTGTTTCGTCCCGTAGCGCCCTTAGTGCATGCTCGTTCCGTTCCGAAGCGCCCGTAACGCTCGCACTCCCCGTCGCGTCGCGTCCCCTGCCCGTCCTGTCCTCTGCCCGTCCCGTCCCCTGCCCGTCCCATCCTCTGCTCGTCCCGTCCCCTGCTCGTCCCGTCCTCTGCCTGTGCCGTTCCCTGCCCGTCCCGTCCCCTGCCCGTCCCGTCCCCTGCCCGTCGCGTCCCCTGCCCGTCGCGTCGCGCTGCCACTCCCGTCCCCTGCCCATCGCGTCCCCTGCCCGTCGCATCGCGCTGCCAGTCCCGTCCCCTGCCCGTCGCGTCGCGCTGCCGTCCCGTCCCCCGTCCGTCGCGCTCCCACTGCGCCCTGCCCGTCCGTCGTGCCCCCGCTGCGTCCTGCCCGTCCGTCGTGCCCCCGCTGCGCCCTGCCCGTCCGTCGCGCCCCGTGCGCCCAGCCCGTCCGTGGCGCCCCATGCGCCCTGCCCGTCCGTCGCGCCCCCGCTGCGCCCTGCCCGTCCGTGGCGCCCCGTGCGCCCTGCCCGTCCGTCGCGCCCCCGCTGCGCCCTGCCCGTTCGTCGCGCCCCGTGCGCTCTGCCCGTCCGCGCCTGTCGCGCCCGTCCCTGCCAGTTACGTCATGTCCCGTCGCACCGCACTGTGTGTCACGCTCTACGCAGGCCCTTCCGGCGTTTAGGGTTTCGGCAAGAGCAGTTCCCACCCCTTCGCTACCGCTATGGCGACCCCTAGGGTTCTGCGCTTTGACGCCAAGGGTAGGCCGCTTGAGTTCTCCGTCTGGCTCCTGAGTGCGCGCCGCCTTTTAGAGAGTCCGGTTCAGGCAGATGAGTATCTGTGGGCGCACGCTTCTGGCGACCTTCCTAAGCCCGACGATCCTGCACCCTTAGGCACTGACCCTAGCGATGCAGCCAGAGATCGTTATGCCCGCCAGCGTGCTGACCTGACAGCGTGGAAGTCGCGTGACGCTGTGGCCTGCATCACCCTCAGCAGCCTCCTCCCTGAGTTTGAGGAGGCCCACTTCACTCAGGTTCGCTCGGCTAGTGAGTTCCTAACTGCGATCAAGGCCCGCTACGCTACTCCCACCACTGTCTCTCTTGGTCGCCTGTTCCTCCCGTTTCTGTTTCCTGACCTCGCCTCGTTTGAGCGCTCTGCTGACTTGATCGCTCACTTGCGCTCGCTCGATTCCGGCTACCGTGCTGCCTGCACTGACGAACAGCTTGCACTGCTCCCTCCCCCTATGGAGATTACTATCTATTTCATCGCCACTAGCCTCCTGCTGCAGCTGGTGGGGGTGACGCCCAGGTTCGTCAGCCACCTACTGGTCTGCCAACCGCAGGGGGTGGAGCAGCGGTGTGGTACCTGACTCAGCGACAGCAGCAGCCCCTCCCCTCGCAGCAGCCATAGCAGTAGCAGGTTTCGGGGCAGGGGTCAGGACACCGTCAGCTGCAGCGCGGTGTCGTCCACTCTCCCTGCACCTATCACGTTCTGACAGGTGCCCGCCACGGCCAGCCTTGTGGCCGCAGCCACCCACCGGGTCAGCGTTTTGCTCAGCTTACTGACACGGTTCGGTTGGCCTACGGCGTCGCCCTGCCCCTGACTGGCTTCCCCTTGTTCAGACATACGGCCTCGCTCTGTGGGGCATGTCGGCTTCTCGGTTGGTTGATCTCTTAGGAACTCCTCATGCTGTGTATGCTGTTGTTGACTCTAGTGCTTCTGACTCTGTTTACTCGAGTGTAGGTGCTAGTCTTGCTGATGTGCCTGTTGCTAGTGTAGGTACTTGTGTAGACACTAGTCCAGGAGCTGCTCCGGAGGACGCTGTACTGTCTTTCACTCTGGACTCCGAAGCTTCGCACTGTTTCTTCCGCGACCACACGATGCTGACTCTGCTTCCTGCGCCGGTCTCTGTGGCACTGGCTGATCCCACTTCGAGACCAGTCACTGCTCACTACTACGCTTCCGTGCCCAGCAGTTCCCTCTGGCTTCCTGACAGGCTTCCGCGTCCCCTCGTTCTCGAGGAAATTGGTGGGTGTGAGGCCGCTCGTGAGTAGTCATGTGGGTGTGTGGATTGAGAATTCTGGCGAGACTACGGTTTGTGTCGACGGGGACACGTACGCGCCTCTGGCCACCTTTACGGCTGAGCCGGGCTCTGGTCTCTACACACTTCACACTGGCCCCCGAGGGAAGCAGCAGCGGCAGCAGAAGCAGCAGCAGCAGCAGCAGCTGCTGCCCCCGACCCCTGTCACTACCCCCCGTCAGGTTCTCGCGTCTCACCAGGTTGCTGCGTCTCACCAGGTACCTGTGTCTGGTCAGATTCCCGTGTCTGGTCCCGTTGCTGCGTCTTGCTCCTGCCGGTCTCTTGCTCACCCCACCGTTCTGTGGCACCACCGCATGGGGCACCCGTCCATTCCTCGCCTGCGCACTATGTCTAGTCAGCATCTTGTCTTAGGCCTCCCGCGAGTCTTGCCATCGCTGCCGCCTTCGCTTGCACCACCTTGCGGTCCCTGCGTCGAGGGTCGGCTGCGCGCCACCCCTCACTCCTCCTCGCTTCGTCCGGCCACCGAGCCCTTCAAGACTCTCCACTTGGACGTCTGGGGCCCCGCCCCTCGCCCTGGCCCTGAGCGAGAGAGTTTCTTTCAGGTGGTCGTTGACGACTACTCTCGCTACACCACCGTGTTCCCACTGGCGAAGAAGTCTGAGGTGACTTCTACGCTGATCCGGTGGTTACTTACCACTGCGGACACTCGTGGTTGTTGTGTCAGCTGTCTTCACTCCGACCGCGGGGGTGAGTTTCGC